CAGTGGGTTTTATGTTTATTTAACTTCAATCCCGACACTGCTTCAAAACTATCGAAGGTCGCTATACACTGTCTGAGTGAGTTCGTTGTTCCGTCCAAAAATACCGTAAGATCATCAGCGTAAGCTGTAACCTTCACAGTGATGGAGCCCGACAGGTCCACCCCCTTGACCTCATCGTTATTTCGTAATGTGCGAATGAGGGGCTCTATACACAACAAAAACAGGTAACAACTCAGTGGGCAGCCTTGCCGTAGTCCCCTTTTAATCACATACGGCTCAGACAAAAAGCCGTTTACTTGGACTCTAGCCGTAGGGTAATGTTCAGGCAGATCGGTATACAGTATATCTATCCACTTTTGGAAATTTGGTCCAAACCCGTTCCTTCGAACTACCTCTTTGAGATAAGACCAGCTCACGCTATCGTACGCTTTTTGCATATCACATGCCAAGAGTAAAGCAGAAATCTTATTCTCTTTACACTGTTGTATAGTATCCAGAATTAATCTGACATTTTCACCAATGTATCTCCCTTGTATAAACCCAGTTTGGTCTTCATGAATCAAGTCCTTAATCACATTCCTCACCCTTAAAGCAATCGCTTTCGTTATTAATTTGTAAAGAACATTTAATAGACTGATCGGTCTTAGATTTTCAACGTGCCTCCTATCTTTACCTCTCTTCGGGATCAGTATAGTTATACTTTTTTTTCATCTCTCCGGGCATTTTACCTGTATCTAAGATCTCGTTTACGGCTTGTGTAATCAAAACCCTGAATTCTGACCAGAACGTTTTAAAAAATTCAGCAGTATACCCGCATGGTCCCGGAGAGCTACCATTCTTCATTGAAAACAGTGCTTGCTCTAACTCACTCGAATCAAAACGACTTTCACACCCGTCCCGTTGTCTCTCTGACAGTGTGGCAGTGTCGTTCAAAAAATTGGTGTAGCACTGCTCAACGTGCTCCGAATCATAAAGCTTTGCAAAAAATGTCCGGCATTCCTGCAATATTTCATCCCGGTCTACGGTGACTTCTCCTCTCTTTGTGCCATAATTTGACATGACCATAGCTTTACAAACGTTATGTGCAGCACTTCTCACAGGCAAACCATGAAAGTATTTCGTACCTCGCTCTGCGTGCATACGCCACCGAATTTTCGCGTTCCACATGTTTTTATCAGTCATTTTACTTACCAGACTTTCCAGCTGAGCTCTTTTCAGTTCTAACCTATCCTTATCATCCTCATCTAAAGTATCTAAATTGCTCATGTAGTTTATCTCTTCATCGAGCTGCTTAAACTCTTGCTCTCTCTGCTTTTTTTGGGTGGCTGCATACTTAATAATATCACCTCGTAAAACGCATAAAGTTGTCTCCAGTAACAAAGTTCTGGGAGTGCCTATCGTGTCATTGTACGCAATTATCATCGGTACTCGGGCTTTAACCATATCTTGAAATTGTCTGTCTTTAATGAGGTCTCTTTTACACTTCCAGTAAGATTTTCCTATCTCGCTTCCCGTAACCTGCATCTCCAACACAACCATTCTATGATCTGCCAAAAAACCGTCAACTATTCTCGCTTCCGTTTTACCATCCCCATACAACACTGATTCACTCACAAGGAAAAAATCTATCCGAGACCTGCTTCTACCATTTTGACGAATGTATGTGTAATCACGTTTAAATGGATTTTGCTCCCTCCATATGTCTATAACATTATATTCATTCATAATTTGCTCGACAGCTCTTTTGCAACGATCATTATTAGAAACATCCCTACCGGAGGTTTTTCTATCTAAGTTCCTGTCAAATCCAAAATTAAAGTCACCCCCTATTACTAATTCATCGATTTGATGTTCGTTCAGTTTTGCGTGCAAATTCTCATAAAACTTCGGATCATCGATGTTTGGTCCATATAGGGTTACTAAAGTCATAGATACACCTTGAGTCTCTATGTCTACTATGAGATACCTTCCGTTGGGATCTGCTTCTACAAGTTTCATCTGTATGGCTGCCCCCGGTCTCAGTAAAATGCACACACCCCTGCTCCTTATGCCGCCGTGTGCAAAATATCCATCTCCCCCCCCCATTCGTTTAACCACCTTGCAGAATCTCTCTCCTCTGAATGAGTTTCTTGTAGCATGTATATGTCTGCATTTTTCTTTTTGAGCCAGGTAAACATCTTTCGCCTTTTTGGTCCTCTTTCATGTGTCCTCAATCCATTCACATTTAACGATACTACTTTAAGCATTTTGAGTTTAATTTATTTTTCCCTTAACCTTCCAGACCTCCTATCGCCGCCCGTAAGTTGTCGTATTATCATCTCGATGCCCTCCGAAGTCAGGCAAGGGCAATGATATAGCGCTATACCACCGTCGTTGCCGGCCTGAGAGCAATTCGTCAAACAAAAAGTCTCCCTGGTACTACGCGCACGTTGTGCCGTTATATCCGTAGGCCTTATGCGTGACATACATGATCCGATTGAAATAACACAAAACAAAAATGCAAACACTTTCACTAACCGCAGAAAAAATCCCGACATCGCGAGACCGTGCCCGTGGGCCGGTTACCCGAAAGGCCCAAACATCTTGTACCAGAACCCCCAATGTAGAAACACAAGTCGCGAGCTAACAGTGTAAGAAATCTCGTCGTAATCCACACCATCCTTATGTTTAACCCCCTCAAATATTACAAATCTTTTCAATATACCCAGTAATCAAAATCCCACCTCAAGGCTGGAGTACCCAGCTTCCATTCACTCAGTCCGCCACAGTTCTGCCCGAGGTCGTCCCACCCGGCCGGCCCGGGGCAGCGGCATCCGTCTCGCCCGACGCACTAGCCGGCCGATCTGCGCCGCCGCCCCGAGGAGCGGCCCCCGTCGAAGTCGATCCACCAGCGCCGGCCAGGTCCGCCCGAGCCGCCACCCGCGCGGCCGCATCCACGCCGCCCCACCCGGGCGCCGATACACTGCCACCTGTCTTACTTTTCCCCGCCGGTGGGCGCTCCCCTGCGGTCGGGTTACACGCGGTTGAGGTGTCATTGTCCGCACCCGGCCCAGCAGAGTCGATCGCCTCAGCTGGAGATCCATTAGGGGTCGAGTCTTCAGAGGTGACGTCATCAGCCCGCCTCCCGGACCCGCCGTCACCCCCACCGTCTCCTCCCGAGTCAGCAGCAGCTGTACCGCCACCGAGAGAGATGACGTCATCGGTCCGTGGCGATCCGAGGGGCCCGGACAACCAAGCTGTCAGCCCGACACCAGACGACCCCGCCCGGGGCTCCACAGGTCGGACATGGCCATGGGGCGCGCCACCAGCCGCCGGCAGGGGCGAGTCCAGCACCTCGGCGTCCGGCGGCACTGGCCGGCGCTGCTCCCACTCTGTCCCCGCCGGTCGCGCCTGGCCCGCCCGAGGAGTCTGTCCCGGCGGCCTCTCTTGTCCGCTGCTCCCCACCTCTGTCCGCCGGCCGTCCCGGGCGCGCCCCTGGCCTCGCCCCTGCGTGCCCGCAGCAGGATCGCCGGACTGCGCGTCCCGAACGAGGTCCGCCACCGCCTCCAATGATGAAGCCCTGCGTGGAAAATCCTGGAACGACAGCTTGTAAAATACTTTTCCGCCCTGAGTGTGAACGGAAAATATCTTGCCGTCCCTCCTAGCTCGCAGGAGGGCTTGGAATATCTCCTGGCGCCTTTCGGTCAGCGATTCTTGCACATATAAATCCTTTCCCCTCAGCCTGCTTTTGAGTTTCCACACCTGTTCCTTGTCGGATCCTGGCCCTGTGCGGTTAAATTTCACAACAATTTTACCGCTTTGAATCCGATGTGCACGATTGATTTGCTCGTCATTTAAACGGTAGCCCATATGATGCTCCAGGAGCTTACGCACAATCAGAGCACAATTTTCGTCCGACCGGCTTTTGGGGATAGCTTTCCCACTGAAAACAAGCAGGTCTAGCCTAGAGTGCTGCTCTGCGTTATCGCAGCGGTCCTCTAGACGCCTCAGGTGCTCAGAAATTGACTCCAGCCCCGCAACCGCTCTCCTGGCCTCAGACTCTGCTGCGCCGGCCTTGGCGCTTGCTGCTGCCACCGAATCCAATGCGAACTCTACGGCATGCTCAACAGCAGCGAGTCTTGCTTCTGACCATCCTTTAAATTCTTCCCTCAAGCTACTCAGCTCTGATTTAATATACTCTTTCAGGCCACCGATTTCTTCACTAAGCCCACTCACCTGCTTATCGGCTGGGCTTCCTGGACTCGACATCTTCTTTCGCTTTGTCATCCCGACACCAAAATCAACTTGTCCACCAACAACGCCAAACTGATCAGTGCTCAACTGCTCACACTCGCCTTTTCATCACAGATGGCCCCGGTCACCGGCCACACGAGCTACCCCTCAGCCACGCATTCCTCCCCTCGCGCCGGCTGCGGGTCAAGGTCGACCGCTCGGGACGGCGGTCAGCGCCCAACTGAATTGACCTTGACCTAACTTGACCTGAAATGACCTCAGCAGCAAAAACCTGGTCGGGTAGTGTGACAAAGAGGTTCTAGCTGGCTTGGCACCAGAAAACGGCATCGTCATCGGTGTATGATAAGCAGCGCACTTGATATCCAGCGGTGACCCAAAACAGCAACATTTTTTTTAGTTTGACCTGACCTGGAAGGTCAATGACTGACCTGGGAAGGTAAAACTGGGTATCATTGGATTCGTCTCTTCCCAAAGAATCTTTTTGGTCTTCACCGCTAAGCTCTATCTCCAACAGGAACGAAATGGCGCGGGGGGGGGGTGGCAACCACCCCCCCCCATGTGCGTTCTAGGATGGGAAAATGGCATGTGCGGGCGAGTGTTAAAGCTCGTTTGGCACTGCAGCTAATTTTGGTTAGCATAATGCTTTTATAAAACGATGCTGTTCCTAGTCAAATAATGCCGATACCTTCCTTCATTTCAAACGGTAGCAAACATAAGTGGTTTCAGAATCGTTCATTTTATACTAAAAACGTGTGTTCTGAACTGACCTTGAGGTACGACACCGGAGGCAGCTCGCTCCTGACGCCGGCAGCCAGTGACGTCAGAGTCAGGAGGGTGGTCACACCCAGCGTCACGCTGCAAAGTGGACGAAATGAATAAAAAACGTCAACACAGAACGTACCATCATAAAACAGGGACGCATTTTCTAAAAGACATTATGACAGTCGCTGAAATAAGTCAGGCACTGTAAACGTTTACTAAATCCTGCGCGAATAGGGATATGGAAGATTTGGCAAGCGACATAATTGTGAAGCGTAAATATCTCTCTCAAATCGAATGTTGCGTCAGCTAAAAGTAGTTATTTGCGGTGACTGAAGCTTTTAATGCAAAATCAACAAATAACAGCTTATGCAGATATCCTATTTCTGAGTATTTAGCCTTCTCGACTGAGTTTAATTCCGAAATGAGTAACACAAACAAGCGTACCTATATATTTCCAGATCAGACATGATGCTGACAAACAGGAATCCATTCTGGCTTGTCGCCAGTGAAAATAATAGAAAGTAAATAAAGCTCCCAGTGTGTTGTTCCGCGACACATCTGGCTGGCTGGCAGGACAACAGCGGAGCTACCGAGGCCTCCCACGGGGAGCTTCACTTTATCAGCAGGGCGGGTGGCATCTGGGCTCGGGCCCAACCCAAACTGATCCACCAGTTTCACAGCACCGCCTCCTAATAATAACACCCTTTGGTAATGACACTCATACGTTAAACGAGACGTCGACCAAGTCAAAATATTTTGTTAAATGCCGAACCCAGCTAGATCATAAGACAGTCCGTCTATTGAGCGCGACTGAACACCCTGTCAGTGCAGCTCGTACTTGCCAGGGAGCGGGACCCTCGTTTGCCAGGCCCTATGCACTGCCTCTCAGTTCGTCAGCTGCCGGTGACTTAACAGTAAGCAACAGTCCCTGGCAGTCAGTCCCCTGCAGTTCCCCTCCCCCGTGCAGGGGAGGTAGTGAGTACCTACAATTTGTGACAGTGAGTAATGACAATTTGTCAGTGACTAACACCACATTAACTGTCAGCCGGCTGTCAGCTGACACATACAGACGGGCTCAAAGAGACGTTTAATTGCTTTGGTGCTGTTGTAACTTAATCAAAAATAGATCAGTTGAGTTTGTCTGGCCGTGCTGTGACATTACAGCTTGAGATCTAATTCGGTTTGAACATCAATCCAATATTTGTTTTCGTTTTATGCAATCAATTTACATAAGGTGCCACGCATTTTGTTTTTGCATACCAGCTAATTAATGCTTTCAAGCGTAAATTCAATTGCTATGCTAAAACAGTTTTTCACTCCTTTCTTATAGTAACATGGCAAAGCTTCGTCCAACTCCCACCAGCTCAGCTCTGTCTCCTCTCTCCTCTCTCCCTCCCTGCCCACTTTCCGTTTGGCGGCACCTGATACCGTAATCCTCCCTCCCTCTCCCCTCTGGCCCTCCCTCTCTCCGTCCTCACCGTGCCGGCGTGGCGGTCTGCTCCAGCCAGAAGGACACCCACGAGATGGCCACGATCATGATTGTGGGGATGTAGGTCTGCAGCAGGTGGTAGCCGTTCTCCCGGTTCAGTCGGAACCGAGCCGACAGCGCGCTGAACTGACCTGGGGGAGGGGAAGGGGTGCTGAGCTGACCACGGTGTGCGAAGGGGTACTGAACTGACCTTCAGAGGAAGGGGAGGCCACTGAGCTGTCCTGCAGGAGAGGGGTGAATGAGGGAGCTGTACTTACGTACATTCAGGGGCTGAGTAAGCTGACACTGGCTGTTGGGCGGTGTTTTGTCTGTGTTCGAGTGGAATAATAAACACTAAATATCTAGCATGAACAGGGTAACTGTAAGGAACACATACATTTCACAAACAACACAGACAACCTGCTTTTGATGCCGTGCTGAACACCCCTGACAACGCCCGGAGCATATTTACCGCAACCCGTCAATTGTTTGCTATTTAGTATGCATATGAGCGGGCTTTCGGGTCAGCTAAGGGCTGTCACCTGGAGGAAACATACTGCCAGTCATCTATGTTGTACATGATTCTCTGCATAAATTCCGTATATATTATGCATGAATGCCTACCAAACCGTGTACATAATGCATGTATATACGAGTCACAACCATGTAGCTCGCACATATAAGTGCACCAGGTGACCTAAAAGCCCTGTTCATGACTGAAAATTCGGCATTTGGCACCTAATTTATTGCAGTTGAAAGCAAAGAAGCAAAACAATCGACATTTCATTCGAAAGGTGTAAAATCTACTAGCCAACAACTACTATCTTTCACGTACCAAACGGATCAAATGTATCAGCATAGGTGCCCAATGTAGCATCGTGAAATGGGCTACTGGCTACCACTTTTCACCGCACCGATCCAGCCCATCGGTGCTGCGTTCATGGAGCCATGAAGTGCCGCTATCACGCCGTTTGCAGTCCTTCCTGCCTTACAGTTTCACTCACCTGTGCTGTAGTTCAGCACTTTGGGATTGTCTAAGATGATCTCTTCCAGGTTGAACTGCGGTATCTCCATATTCATAGTCCTCTCAATCGGATTGGGCTCCTTCCAATAAAACTCCAGGGCTGATATTGGGTGCGCAACTGGAAAACAGATCAAATAGCTGAGCACTGGAAATTGGAATTTGCTAAGAAGGTACACACTCTGACACCTCCACGCATCCTTACCTACATCAATATGGCCCTTACATACATTCCGCCCTTGGGGTGACCTGGCTCACCTCCAGGGGAAGAGCAGAGGCTGAGGGACACGCTGCTAATCTTATTCGTCATATACCTATGTTAAAATGCCAATCGTTTGAAATAAGGCTACTCGTTTATAATTATCAACTATTGCTTTTGTTTGTCAGCATTATTGCACATTCACACTAGTTTATAGGCCAGTGTTGGTGCGGCAAGGCGACTGTCGACTTAATAACGCAAATTCCTTTTGGACATGCCACAATCTAGGATAATCTTCTGTAAGTGACATGTAAACACGATCAACATCAAAATGCTCTTTGTACACTGCAGTTTCATTGAAAAGAAAACATGCACGTTTAGTTACAGAGACATCTCTCATGCGAGCAGGGTGAATGATTTCTGGTCAACGATGTTGTTTAGTCACTAAAACCCATTGCAAGCGAATAAAAGAGTTATGTATGTTATATGAAGACATATGAACTTTGTTTGTTTGTTTGTTTGTTTGTTTGATTGTTTGTTCACTTGTTCTTTTTCATCGTCGCTGTATAGCGACGCGTCTTTAAAATAAGGTAATTTTTAATAAGGTTATACCTATCACACGTAACGCGTTTTATAAAATGCACGAACCGGGTACCCATTCAGGTGAAACTTCAGCTTTGATCGGCGGCATTGCCCCACCAAAAAATATATTCTGTAATTATCTATATTATCTATAGCGATAATATGCAACTACAAAATAGCCTAGCTTACCTCTTAAATTAGCCCTGATCCATATGCATATGTACCTAAGCCATTAGTCAAGATGTAATGAAACCAGGATGGCAACTAGGAAGCAGGCAGTGCCACTAAAAGCGTCCTTGGCAGCGGCCAGTGACCCACTCGGCTACTCCCGTTCTGTCGTGCAGAGCTGTGCAGAGCGCTGTGACGGCCCTGAGCAGCGGCGTGCACCGTCCCGGCCGTGCTCTCCCCTCCCCTCCCTCTCTCGCTCTGCCCATACCTGGGCCGGGTTCCAAGCGGCGGCGCCGGCCGACCAGCGCGGCGCCGGGCGCCGGACAGACGCGGCATGCACTGACCGCGGCACACCTGCAACGCACTGGCAGACCAGATCGGGCCGCTGCGTGCTGGACCAGCCCGCACTGTGCCAGGTCGGAGCGCACAGCTACGTGCTGGACTGCAGTCTGCACTGCTCCAACGAGGTCACAGTTGCGGCATAGACTGTAACGCGTTGCTGAGGATGGTGGGAGAACAGAGCGGCCAAGAGAAGACAGCGGTTGAGAGGAATATCGAGAGGAATACCGAGAAAAAACTGAGTGGCTGCAGGGAATACCGGGAGAACGGAGCGGCCCAGAGAAACAATGGGAGAGCAGACCGATCGAGAGAAATGGTGGGAGAACAGAGCTGTCGAGAGAAATGCCGGAGACAAAGCAGCAGCGGCGCCAGCAGTGGACGCACATAAGTCGTTATCGGACCACAACAGCCACCTCCAATGGGTCACTAATAGAGTTGCAAAATTTCGCTACCGCACTACCGGCATGCCGGTAATTTTTCACTACCGCAGGTTTATTCGTGGTAACTGGCATGTCTTGCCGGTAGCATGCCGGTATTTTTGATTTTGTGCAAAAAAAATATCAGCAAATGATTCAAACTTTGGACACTAAGAGGCTCTCAAATTGTAGTAACAGCAATATTAGCCACTGCAAGATACATTTTGTGGTAGAAGTTCCATTGCTAAGTGTAGGGGTAACACATGGACCTCAGCATTTCACACAATTCACAGGCTTGGTTATAATTAGAATTGTCAAGAATCTACTGTGGTCTATAAAAGGAAGAATACTCATTCATGTTGCAAAAGCACGATAAACTAGTAAGTCTAATGGTAGGTAATACGTATAGCACAATAAAATAAATCAATGTTCATGACAACATTCCCTAGGGGAAAAGGCAGAATCAAAACACCAAAAAACACAATGCTTGGAAACTGGCCTTGAGTCCTGAGATCATGAGATGTGGTCTGAGAAACTCTACAAAGAATTTGACACTGAAAATCCAGCTGAAAAGGCAGGTGTTAGGTAGCCCTGAGTCTGACTTTGGTCCCATTATTAAATGAAAATGGATTTAAACTGGCATTTTGTCTTATCTTTACAAGAAAACACATCATGCAGGCAAAATTGACAAAAAGTGGCGCAAATAATTAGACAACCAAGGATTTACTTTTAAGATTCTCTCTCCCCTAATGAATGGATGTAATCTGATGACGTAATATTTATCCATATACCCTTTTGGTTGAATAACTGAAGAGAGATGAATTTCTTTGCAGTGAATTACACTACAATGTTGATTTCATTATAATTTAATATTGTGTTGGGTAATTTTTATCAATATAATCATTCACGAAGCAGTGGCTTGCAGTCGTTAAACATTTTTTTTTGCAGCGTTTTAATCAGCTGGTTAAAAGCCTCTATTATGGCGCATCTGTTTCGAAATCGATAACCTTGTGTTTGTTCCCGCTTGAGGTTGGAGAGGATGGAAGATATCGTTTTTATACATATTATTTGGTGACTATTCTCAGGACCAGTGAGTTATTAACACATTTTTTACATGATTCGTATCTTATTCACGAACCAGCAAGCCATAGTGGATAGGAAAAAGTAGATGTTGATCTCGCTTCCTCAGTTAGGAAGATGGCCTAATCTGTAGTCTGTACTTGTTAAATCTATGTTTTGACCATCTATATTTTAAACATTTGGCTGGTGCCTGCAACATTTTAGGAGAATATGGAAAAGTAGAACAACTGTGAAATGTAAATGTGATTACTGCTCACTGTCCAGTCTTCAAAAACACATTTCAGTAATTCAAGTCCTTTTTGTCCTCACCTTTTTGATGAATGTAATAGTTTTTTTTTTGTAGGCAATACTTCTTTGATTACAGGTGATATTTTAACAGTTATAGACTGGAATTGAGTTTCAAAATTGTGGGTATTTGTGGGGCCAACTCAGCCAAAATCAGCCTGCTGGTATTTGTGGTTGGACAATGGATGGCTGTTGGGTGGGAGGGGTGCTGAAACTGCCAAAATGTGGCATCTCTTGCAGGGGTAAGCTAGAATCAAGAATGCAGGTTTTTTTAGTATGCCGGTAATTTGGCGGTTTTTTTGCTTGGGGCGTGGTAGCATGCCGGTATCCCAGAAAATTTTTGTGGGGCGGGGCGGTGCCGGTAGCAGCCTTTTGGGAAAACTTTGCAACTCTAGTCACTAAGTCACCGACGCCACATAGGACACAGGGCCTCCAATCCTGGTGGATGCGTACTGAGGTCACTGACCATCATGGATCTACGAGATAGGCCAGTACCTATACAGGTCCATATGCTCGTATACGTCCTGCCGCACTAGCTCAGAAGCTCTTCAGGCCGGCCCGAGAGGCAAGAATTGCTCAGAGAAGAGCGTCTTTCTGAGCATCACGTTACCACCTGGCACAAAAACGGCGGCTTGCACTGGTGGTGAAACCATAGATAGAAATAATCGAAAAAAGTCTTCAATGCATACAGTTTGAATTACACCATCACCATCAATTTTCCAGAAGAGTGTGGAGCATGACAATAACAAACACGACATGCAAGACAAAACCAACTCACTTGCATCATTGCTGGCTTCCCTTCGTGCCACCCTTTTGGTAATCACCGGACCATTGTAATATTAAGCCAAAACTTCACGACAGTGGTGAAGCGTCAAAACAGCTTGTTTCACGGTTATCCAAGCGTCTAATACCTTCCACTGGCTTCTCGGAATGTGCCGGTACACGGTCGCGCGGGTCGCTGACAGCCATCTGTTTCGATCAGCAACACACGACACATACCGTGGCGCGAATCCAAAGAAAGACGAATCCCAACACTTCTCCGCCAATCGCAAATTGACACAAAATCCAATTTCCTCTCAGCTGAGCTATTGTGCCAAGATACTCGGAGATTTGCTCGAGTTGTACAAGGTACGCGATGCAATATGATCCAGTTTTAAATTGATAGTGTTGAAGCGCTTGACTTCAGCGAAAATTCGGGGGCAGTTTGGAGACAAAGACACTTATCAGGAGCAAAGGGCTCCGAATGGACATTAGCTAAGGGCGTAAGTGCTTAAAATTAAGTGCATCTAATAAAAACGTACCCATCCGTTGTTAAAAAGTAGGAAACAATATGAAAGATGACAATTTGCTTGGTAAGCACAAAAACACTAAAGCAAAATAACACAAGCATTAGGTAATAAGGTATAACTACATAATAAAAAACAGCGCTAGCGTGCATACACGATAAGCACAATACAAATCATACGCAGGCGATGCAATTTACATGCAATTGTTTGTTCAAAACTTACAAGTGGCAAGCTCTATGTGGCAGGTCTGTGTGTCCAAAGGATATTTGTTGAGATCCATCTGGCAAGAGAGGGTCAGCTGCAATCTGGAAAGCAGTGCCGAATCCAATGAGACATCGCATGATGCATAAGAAGACATCGCAGTGTCTTCTGCGATGTCTTCTACAATGAGACATCCAATGAGACATCGCAGAGAGGGTCAGCTGTATAAGTAATTTCAGAAAAATAAAGGTGGCATGATTTGTAGCTTCGTCTAGTTGGTATCGATCGAACAACTTTATACCTGAATCCTTTGCTCAGCATCTCTCTTACTCACAAATGATTCCAAGAAAGCCTTTAAACATTAAGGAAAATCATCACCTATGTTCAGATCAACAATGCATTAGCTAGCAATGTACCATACTGTACTATACCGTGCCTTACAGCCAATAAAGTTACTGTGCCGCTCTAACTCCAAAGGAGAGGAGGGGTTAGCCCGAACTGCGGTGTATCATACGTGGTCACGGCAGACATCTCCGCTCACCGGATGCTGTAGAAGACCCTTCCGTCCGCATAAATCCGCATCAACACGTTTGGTGATGTCACATCATGGTACTTTGCATCCTGCCAGACAAAATAGCGTACATTTTAGCCCTTCATGACTCTACATCTACAACAATATCGGACAACACAAGGTGTGAAGGCGCTCTTTCTCACTAAAGTAGGTAAGTGTTTTTTTTCCAAGTGCAATGGCAGTTGATTGCATTATGCAGCTACAGGAGTGAATTTTGTCAGTTGACACAGAACTTGCTGCGAACAAGGAAGCTGATGAAAGGTCGAGTGTCAGCCTGAATAAACACGAGTCGGCACTTCGGTTGTTACAAAAACCGTCATCAAGCTGGAATTTAAGAGCAGTGGGGTGGCCTCCAGCAGTTAAGTGATGCCTAATTGGTAATTATTTAACGTCCTGGACGATAGCAGAGACTGGAGAGGTACTGACACCGGAAAGTTAACATGATCGATTTTATCAAGTTCCTAAAACAGGAGTGTAGAAAAGGCTTGCCTCAAGGAAGAATCAGATCAGACCCTGCATTACGGTAGAGTTAACTATTTGTCATAACAAAGATAACGTGCTGTTGCGGCTGGTCCATGGCAATACGCGGAGAAATACCTAACTATCAGCTACGACACTGACAGTCAACATTACATATCTACGGACGCCTCTCGCTTGCGCTTTTCTCTGCTACTGACACAATGCCCTTCACCCGTCATATGATGAACCTCCGTGGGTTTATCTTTCGTCTTCGTCCCAATGACTCAGAAGGCTCTGAAAAGCGCCATTTTCCGAGGCGCAATGCTACCCTGGGGTCTACTGAATAAGACTGCTTGGAAGTTGGAACCCTATCTGAGCAATGGTGGAGAACTGCAGGGTGAGGATCGGTGTGCGCAGGTGACGAGCACCGTTGACATTTACGACTACTTTACGGGTTTGGACGCCGCAAAAGGCATAAAACACGCTCGACGCTCGTGCTCAACGCATGACGACGCAGACGACTGTGCCGGCTCTGTCCTGGACGGTAGACTGTGCCGTCAAACTCTGGTGTACGGCGGGACAGTCTAACCAGCCAGCGTCGCACTCAAGCAGGCGGACTGGGCGGATTGAATTCAGTTCGGTTACTGTAATTGGAAACCATGCTATAAAAGGATGATATGCTCTTTTCATTGATTGCCAATATATTTAGATTCCGGAGCAGGCTATAGGTTGATAAAAAGGCAACCTTGACAGTACGGTACTAACTACATAGTACCTACACCCAAAGAACGATTACCAGCGGGCTGGAGTCGTCCTCAATCAGTGGTGATATGAGAGCAGACCCCGGCGGGCAGCGCGTCTGGAATGGGTGGCTATTGAGACTCCGGCGGTCAGCGCAGCTCTCTGGCTGTTACCCATACAGACACACCTGCAGACCCCCTCACAGGGCAGCACCGAGTGCTCGCCGGCCGCCCACCTTGACGTTGAGGAAGTAGATGTCCGGCGTCCACAGCCTGTCGATGACGCTGCGCCTGCTGACCAGCAGCAGCTGCCGGGTGTCCGAGGCAGACCGGAGCCGGTCGTCCTGCCACGACTGCCGCAGGTAGATGTCCAGGTGGTAGTCCTGCAGTACGCAGACACAGAACAGTAGGTGACCGATTCAAGGAAGCTGACAAGGGCGAGAGCTCATGGTATTTAATTATGGTGCACAGTGCACATGGTCAATTCAGAGACGAAGTTACTATTATGAGTCTGTCGCATCGGCAACTGCAAGAGCAAATGTGCATAGCTTGACTTAAAAGGGCTTCAGCTCTTTTCGTAGGCTGCTTGTTATAGGCCACTTTCTTGAACTAGTTTGTAATATGATATTGTTTCGCGTGAGTTATTCCAAATGATGGAAAATAGTTCAAGTGCCAGCTCGACGCTTGTGTCCGCAGTGCTGAGTTTCTCATAGTTCATCAGTTTTACAAGGCGCACTGAGGAAACTCATTATACCGTTTGTCCACTCATTACTGACACCAGCGAACAAAACGGCCACACCAATCGACAGTAGCTTCGGACATGCAAGACTGTAAAGTCGACGCTAGGTTCATATACTCGCTCAAATATTTCTTTGAAGTGCGGTGAACTGTGTATGGATTGTAGAGGCCTTTGAAGTGAAAAGCAAACATTGAAATTGGTACATGTTTGTGCTGAGTGTAATCTCTTATTTACAAAAGATCATACGGCATTTGCAGGAACACCTAACTCTATACTACAAGCCAATGTTCTCGTATTAATTCCCTCGCCCCGTTGGGGGGGGGGGCATTTTGCCCCCCCCCTGTGGTTTTTCCTGAATAGCAAGAAAACGGCGGCGCGCAGCGCCGCCAAATTTTCAGTACCTTCCCGGGCATCAATTTGACACCTTCACACCAAATATCAAGTCTTAGGTCACCTTAGGTCAGGAGTTATTGAGGTCAAACTGAGGTCATGTTCGAGCAAAAATGAGCCAAAAACATGCAATCTTGAAACGCGCACCAAATATACAGTTATCAAGCAATTTCAAAGTTCTTTATATGGTGTAGTAGACAAAAAGCGGCGCTAAAAACTGCCATCTCGGATTTTCAAAATTTTGGGTTTTTGACCCCAAAAAATTAAAAAAAATTGAGTTTTTTTTTTTAGAAAAACGCTCTTCTATATACATACCAAATTTCAGATAGATATCTCGTTTTTTGGCCAAGTTATAGCGAAAAAACGGTTCAAAAATGATGACGTCAAATTTTTGAACTCAATTTTTAGCGATTCTAGACCACGTACGGCAAAACGGAGACCGCCATTGAACTCCCCGTGACGAGCTGCATCGATTCGATAACCATTTTATGCAAAAATATCAACTTTGAAATTTGACCTAATTTGACCTGACCTTGACCTGACCTTGACCTGACCTTGACAAAACGTGACCTAAGCTGGCCCCAAAGGCTGCCTGACCCACATAATCGCATTCGTCATGTAAAATGGACCATAAAACATGTACCTATCACACGACACTTTCATATCCCAGCCAGCAATTTTGCTCCGGGCCCAAGCAGGCTCAAGTGCGGATTGCCCGAGATTTTTAGTCGGGCTAAAGTCGGCTAGGGCTTGGGCTAAAGTCGGCGTATGACACAGAAACGCCGACTAAAGCCCATGCTCTGCCGGAGGTATGCCCGCTCTGCGAGCTCCGGGCAGCCGTAGTTTAGCCCTAGTTGAGCGACGATTGGCGTTAGCCCGATTTAAGCCCGAGCAGTGAATCTATTTATATAATGGAAATTACTCTGGGCCCGAGCGGGCTGAACTCCGGCAAGCCCACTCTGTGTGCCCTGTCTATCCCGACTTAAGCCATAGAAGTGAATGGGGTTTATACATTGCAAACTGCTGTGGCTTTGCTCGGGTTCGGCTCGAGTGACGGCTCCTGTTTTCTCAAGTCTCGACTTGACTTCATCTTGCTTTTGCTTCACACAAGGAGCAGGGAGCAGCCAATGCACTTTCAGCAGGTTGTGTGGTTTTAATGCATATTTAAACTTGCTACGGTCACTCATATGCTCTGTTAACCGGTCATCGAGCATTGCGAAAGGAAAGTAGTGGTTGACTTTGATCGAATGTTTATTTCAAAGGACTACAGACACGTCAAATGAAACACAAATACATGAAACAGTGGACTGCAAACTGCAGCAATAATATGGCATGAGTCATGAAAAAGCGCCATCAAAACTATAAATCAATCACAAGACCCGCTAGCCTTCCTCCCCGTTCGGCGTTCATAATACTTGGTTGAACACTTAACCGAAAGCATAAAGTAAGGACAGCAAGAAATCGCTCATAAGACGATAAAGCAATAAGCAAACAATCGTTTATAAAGAACTTCACTCTGGTGAATGGGAGCTTTGGAGGCGTCTGGCTCCTCCACACACACACACATCTGCAGTAGGTGGTCGGCCAGCTTTCGGCGCAGTTTCCGTATATGTAGGTACCTATACCTACTTAATTATAAGCAGGCAGTTTCCGCTAAACCACTTGGCGAGGGCGACAGCGGCGTCCACCCGGTCCTGGTTTGTATAACTTTTCCATTTTTTGGAACAATTTGCTCTAATGGTACGTACCTGAAAAAGAGATCAATTGGTTTAATTTACATTGCATGTTTGCTTGAAAAATAACTTATTGTTGCATTCATACTGTAACAGCACTTCTCGTTGATCCGTATAAAATGTTCATTCGAATTTTTCAACGCGGACAGAGAATGAGCGTGCTCGGTGATAAGTAGATAAATATTTGTGTTTTGTGTTTCATTTTCCTCGTTCAGAAGTGCTGGTATTTCACAAAGATATACATAAAGGCACGGAATGCGGCTTTTCTGAGCGAGGGTAGGTATAAGTCGCCAGGCTGAACAGCTATTCAGCTTCATGTTTGATGGCGTGAAACTCAGTCAAAATAATGACGTTTACCTACATACGATCAAGCGCACCATTCAATACAAGTACCTACCGTAAAACTCCATGCTAGTCCACTTGATAAGAGCAATGAGCACTATCCCTTCTTCGCGCTGTCACACGCGCCCAAACATCAACCACCAAATGCCCCAACACCGGTGTGTCGTTTCGTCGCACAGCGCGCAGACTGTCACAAACGCTGCACATGATTGGCGCAGAACTGCGCATGCGCGAACAGCCGAACAAGTATGGCTAAACTCCGGCTTTACTCCAGTTAGCCGAAGGACACAGCCAGCTTGATCAGCCCGCGCTCCGCCCAAGTTAAGCCTGTTTTGGATGTGTGGGCAGATGTCGGGCTGAGCTACTGCTATCCGCACGTGGGCATAGCTGCGGGAAGTCCAAGCTCAGCCCTAGTAAAAAATACATTGGTTTTGATCAAAGTGGGCAAACCCACGCTAGGCCCAAGCTGCCCGACGTTTGCCACAGTTCAGCCCAAGTGAATTGCTGGCTGGGATTGTGACCCCCGTGACCTGACCTCTGTGACCTGAACTGGTATCAGTGACCTCAAATAGCAAAATATGTGTTTGAAGAACATTTCCCCATCGATGATTTTCAATGAAATGCATTTTACTCGATTTTACAACGCATTTCTTGAAATGCCTGTAAACGGTGCAAATTGGACCTTTGACCTGACCTGTGACGTCATCGGTTTGACCTAGGTCAATAAAATTGGGTCACAAGGTAGATCCCTGATAGGGCTATCCAACACCGTTTGCCGCTTGTCGCTAGGTTGCGTGGTTCTCGAGATCTTAGGGGGGGGGGCAAAATGGCCCCCCCAACGGGGCGCGTTGCTCGGCAGAGCCCAACGGGTCGCGGGTGATTGATTGTAATCGTGTGACAACTGCAATTATTATAAAAGTGATAACAAAATTAGGTTCGTGTACAGCTACGTTTTGAATACCAGAATCGAAAAAGGTTTCAAATGAATACATTTCTGCTTGCGCCGTCTACAAAATAAAAGACACATGTTCTCCAGATTAATGAAACATTTCGTAACTCCTTCATGCACAGAGTTTCAATATAAAAATTACCACACCTCAGTTCGAGCCTCCGAAAATTACGAATGAAGGATACCAAGTATGCCATCATTATGGAATACACGCCACCAAAACACAACACACATGCTTACCAGTTACCGAGGATATCTACATAGTGCTATTGCACACGAGAAGCCAGAGAGCGCCAAAAAACATAACATGGTACCCTCGTTTGAACTCACTAGACCGATTTTATGACGACCATTTTACATCTCAATGAACAGCATCACTGTTGTTATAGCAGCTTTGCTACCTGCAGTCAGGCGTGTATTTGAACGACCTACGTAAATGCACCGGCAGAGCCCTGGGCAGGCTGGTGGTGAGTGACGCGCTGGTGTCCAGTTTCCAGAGGATTAACTCGAATCTTTCTATTCTGCACTGTTACATTCAGTATCAAAACACATTTTTCTCTCTCCACCCTTTGTCTCTTTCTCTTTCTCCCTCTCTTTACCCCTCTCTTTCTCCCTCTCCTTCATTCTCTTCTCATTCCCTCCCTCCCCCCTCTCTCTCTCTGTCTCTGTCTGTCTGTCTGTCTGTCTGTCTGTCTGTCTGTCTGTCTGTCTGTCTGTCTGTCTGTCTGTCTGTCTGTCTGTCTGTCTGTCTGTCTGTCTGTCTGTCTGTCTGTCTGTCTGTCTGTCTGTCTGTCTGTCTCTCTCTCTCTCTCTCTCTCTCTCTCTCTCTCTCTCTCTCTCTCTCTCTCTCTCTCTCTCTCCCCCTCTCTCCCTCCCTCTCACCATGGTGGCTGCCCGCGGCGCGCCGAAGCTGTTGATGAAGATCTCCACATGAACGTCGGTCGGTACGCCGGCTGGGGACGGACAGAGACAGGTCAGCGGTGCCGAGGTGTCCGACAGGCTGGCACCGTCGCGGCGGGGGCGGGTGACAGCACCTGACACCTGTGACGCCGGCGGTGACCCGGTGTCAGGCAGGGGCGCGGTTGGCGCCGCCCCAGACTGTCCATTACCCCTGACCGTGGACGGGGGCGCCGATCGGGTCGGTGGAGGGGGACACTGCTCTTTGATCTGCCGGCGGCGCCCCGCCAAGATACATGGACCGGTCGGAATGGAGGTCGGATTACAGGGATCGGCCGGATCCCAACTCCATCACTGGGGGCGCTACTGGGTGCAGACACAGCGTTTTGGACGGAGCCCGAGCCGATCGGACGAATGGATGTTCATCTAGAGAAACTGCCTTGTTTGTCTTTAGCCGAATTGAATGCGCGTCTCTTCTCTGCAGAAATCTTTGCACCATTGAGGTTGGTGAAAACCTATTCAATCTTAACCACAAACTTCCCGAAAAGCACTTGTTTTGAATGCTTTATCAGAAGTTTGCCAGTGTGGTGATACATATATCCGGTGTACACGGACTGGATCTGAGCCGGTCGGTGGATGGATTGTCTCAGTCGATCTGAGAGCCGTCAGCCGGCGCTGCAGGCCAATATCGGACAGGGTTCGGCAGTGGGCGAGGTCAGCTCAGCAGACAGTTGACACCGAGTTGCCTGACGGAGCGCCAGGCGGCGGCGCCAACCGATACACGGCCGACCCCGCTGCCGTCCGTCAGGGGACAGATCCAGCTCAGGATGAACTCACTCTGGGAATGAACTCATCCCGCTGATGACGTGTGCGGGCTACACAGAAATAGTTAAAGGTGACGATGCAAAGGACATAGACAGGACAGGCCTAGCTACAAAAGTGCGATAAATGGGACATCCAAAGATTTGACAGATATGAGAGCGGTTATCTGGACGACACCATGCGTGTAGTCGCAAAACTTGTCACATCACAAGGGATAGCCTTTAAAGGGACACTCCCACCTTAACATTAGTTTTGAGTTGAGATAGCCAAATTGGTGGCCATGGCCTGCAAATACCGGTTTGGGCACTCACAACATCGACAAATGCTTTAATTCGGAGATATGGAATTTCAAACTTGCAGTTTTCGGATTCTAAGGGGCTAGTGCATTGGTATGCCCCCTTAGAATTTGTGACGTCAGCGGAGATCTAACGATTTTTAAATCTTTTACTAAAACGTTTGGTAGCACGCGGTGGTATATGCTGCTTTGCGCGCAACAAATGCCGCACTTTCAAATAAAGTCGCTAGGAACAGCGGAGATCCCAAAAAGTAAACAAAAGTAAAATTCTAATATCTTGAAAACCGGTGAATATTTTTCGATGAAATTTGGTAGATATTCGTTTTCGCTCTTGCTGAACCGAGCGACATCACTTTCGCGCCAATTCATTAACTTTTTTGAAGGTGGGAGGGTTCCTTTAAATGAAAGTTTTTTATAGGACTACTTTACGTGTGCATAACTAATGCACATTAGATATTGTTTTTTATTTTTGCATTTCATTTCAAATCCAAGACCACAATGCGTAAGCAGATCCTAACGGAGTTTATCAATCGGTAGAATGCTTACTTTTGTTAAAGGTGGGCCATTGATTCGCATCATAGGCAGTATCCAGTATCTTCTTCTCTATAACATCTAGCGTGAAATACCGCTCAGGGCTGAAAACGAGCAGACATGCAAATAATCAAAATGCAAGGCAGACAACAACAGCTAACGTTCATAAACAACTTTATGAAATTGAAAATCTTGGAAACGTTAGAAATAGCTTCAAATATAAGTATTGTCTTGTCATGTTACTGAGTAAGTAATACGTATGCTACCGTAAGCATTCAACATGTAGAGACAACCTTCACGAACGCTTCAGAGGACAGTTTATTCAAGAGATTAATGTTAGCGCCAATGCGGGAGTCCAATTAGTTATCGCGCCAAAACGTCAAAGACATGTATCGATAACCAGCCTCGTAAAGATATCAATGCATGCCAAAAGGTATTCACATCCTGGGAGCCTATAGCAGCCAATGGAGAAATAAGACAGACAAAAATGAAATTAAGACATCGTTGGCCGATATCTTTATGGTGGGACCACCCTAAAACTTTGCAAGACAACTGCAGTATGCGACAGAACCATATGGAATTTAGTCGGTGTAGCTAAGAATGCATTTACGGTCTACGGAATAAATCGTACGCATGTGCACTATGTATAACATGTATGCATGGATGTAAGTACATATGTATGTATATTTACTTTCATGAGCGATCTACACATTGCGCGGCGATTGCTGCTCTGATTCTGAGTCAGGTATTTTGCATGCTGTATCCACTATTTTAAGTTGTGTGCATGTCTAGCAATATCCGTTGCCCGTTTGGTTTCACAGTGATATATGCCAATACTTTTGCAAATTTCTCTTGAAATAAGCTTTGTCCACTGAAAACATCTCTAAAATCTATAAAAAACATTGTCCTCAACCAAATCTTTAAAAGTCGTATGCCACAGAATCAATTACGTTGCAATTCCACGAAGTCATACAATCACTAAGTGTCACTGGTAGCTGGCCGCTTAGGTATTGCAGAGTTTTTGACACATTAAAAACTCATCTTGAAATAAGGCCGTCTTTTTAGCACATTCAGGCAAGGCACGTTGTAAGGACGTGTGTTTATAGCGCATCGGTCAGCGGGGCAGCACACTGAAGAGGCCGCGGGATGATGCGAACCTGGTGGCCCCGGCGCCCCCGGCCTCGCCGTCCGCTGCTGACGCCGCACACAGCAGTCTGCGCTCACCACCGCTGGAACACGAGGTCACAGCGGGCAGGCGTCACAGAGGCGGCCAGAACACAGCCCGGCGCTCTTCGACCTCGACATGCCGCGCAACAGAAAAATAACGCAAACAATCGGCCTACTTAATTCGAAACGAAAATCACAAACAAAAAGAAGCCAAAGCCATTTCAAGCCAAAGTATATTGATACGAGAAAATCATTCGAGGGGTACCTGAATAACTCCAATGCAAAGAAAGCAAGCTATCTTCAACAGAAGATATTGGCCATCTTCTAAAAGCTCATTATCTATGTTTTGCGACTAAAAAAAAAAAAAAACATGACCAAGCCTTATGATGAAATGAGAAATATCAGGCTCTACTAGTGGCACTTGCCAGCTGATATCAAACATATGCAAGTCAGCAAACAGGCAACATTCAAGGTTACACCAAGTTAGGCCCAAAAAGGGCAATGAGAGAAGTGTTCCATCGCATATATGTACCAACTGAGCGTCAGCACACTCGCACACTCCGAATACCCAGACCGCACAGCCCATGACTTTCGGCGATCAACTGATATTGATTCAAATGGCGTTGGCTCAGCTGATATTGGTTCAGCTGATGTGATTGTCAGTGGTAAGAAATTTACGGCGCAAAAATATCGATCAATGCCATCGTCTTTTCCGGCGCGTCGCCATCCACCACATGGATGGATTGTATGATTTAACTTATTTATCCCTCGAACGAAAATCATTCTGCTTGACTGCAGTTTCAAGTCGAATAGCTTTCAGTAGGTATCTCTAACAGCTCACTCAAAGAGGTTCGTTTAGAGCATGCTCCCCTAATCGCTCGTCTCGGAGTGCGGATCCATTAGGCGGTGCCAGTTCTGCCAGGAGAGGTCCGGTGACCTGCCGGGCCGTCCTCAGGGGGCAGTGCCCGGTGAGAGGCCCATTGTGACGTCATCGAACGTCTGAAGTGACTGAGAACCGAGCGGCGGTACCGGCCGAATGCGGGTCAGGAGATAGTTACCTCTCGGTGGGTAACTATGGCAACGGGACGGAGCCCTGCTGATGGTCAGAGTGGTCCCTGCCAGCAGGCTACCGACGGAGACAGGTTGCCCTGGCTCAAACCCGAACCAAAATGCACTAAGAAGGCTGCAACGCAGGGTATATCGTCGATATGGCTTTTGCAAAAATCAAGGCACAGTACAAAGTTATGTACTTGGCGACCGATGACTTTGGCTTGTGTTCCTAAACATGTTGGTCTCCTACGTAAGCAATGCCAATTTGCAACGTTTTGATACCGTTATAGGGTATGGCATTTGTGCTTCAAGCAATATCTTCTAAAGTTAAGTAATCAATCTGACGATTGGTTTTGTTCAACCTATACCCCAAACTCAAATAGAGGCATAAGCAATCACACACAATCTCTCTCTCTCTCTCTCTCTCTCTCTCTCTCTCTCTCTCTCTCTCTCTCTCTCTCTCTCTCTCTCTCTCTCTCTCTCTCTCTCTCTCTCTCTCTCTCTCTCTCTCTCTCTCTCTCTCTCTCTCTCTCTCTCTCTCTCTCTCTCTCAGATCCTGCCTAAACCTGACTGCTTCAGTTGTCATGAGGCAGATTGCGATATAACTCAAACTCGAGGCACAGGAATTCAGGGAACTGACAGTAGAGTGAAGCGAAACGACAGGAATGCACTTTCACGGAATGTCAACTTCAGTCTAATGGGAATTGCACGGCTGTCGTCTGTGGCTAACGTAGCAAGAATCGCGCCATCGATTCGGCCGGCCGGCTGTGGTACCGGTGACGAGGCCATGCGGCCCAGGGCGGACCGTTTTGCAGCAGATCCACCATCGCACTGCAGTATACCGTTCACCTCAGTGTTCAGTTAGACAGAGTCCTGCACTCAGCAGCCACTCAAACCGAGTGGGCTGCAGCGGGCAACGGTAACAAGACTCAAGAGCCGTTTTAGCATTATGTACTTAGCGTACTCGGTACACTTTTTTAAACATCATGATTGAAGGCTGAAACATGAACAGGTTCAGCCACAGACTGCCTCGCGGCTGGCCGGTAGACCTCCAGACCAGTACAGTCCAGCACCGAACCACCGCATCGAACCACATGTGGTAGGGGATCTAGAAACCACATTGCAGCCAACATTCTGTCAGAAACGGCCTGCCGACCGTCGGACTGGCGCCCTGCAGCGACCGGAGGGGTCGGCCGGCATACCGAGCCGTTGGCCGTGCTGCAGAATGGTTCCGCACTGCCTCAATATACCCCGCGACACCTCATCGGTCCTTGAACCGGAGCCGGTCGATCGCCCGCCGGCCGGTGGGCTGTGAACGAGCTGCCGCTGATGGCCCGTGCACGCTGAATTACACCCCTCCACTGAGGGCCGTCCACGCTGCATATGCCGCCGATGACTGGACATATATTGAATAACATCGATTCACCTCTTATTACATACATATCCCGCGCCGTGCTGGGGGGCGTTTTTACGCCCCCCCCCCTCAGGTTTTTCGCGAATATCTCAAAAACGGCGGCGCGCAGCGCCGCCGTTTTTGGTACACGTGTTCCTACATCATTTCCGCACATGTTGTGAAAATTTCAGACCTAGGCCGTTCAAGGTCAGGTCACCAGGTCACGTCAAGTGACCTTACCTCAGAAAAAGTTCAAAGGCTCGCTATAGCTACACCGACTGAACGATCGCTTTGAAACTTTCAGCGATTGATATGAGTAACAGTATGTATAAAATGTATATCTCGGATTTTTGATATCTGTGACCTAAGGTCAGGTCAATTTTGCGACCTCTCCATTATAAGTCAATGGGAGAAAATTGAAATGCGCCTCTTTTGGACGAATATCGTTCAAAACGCTCTCAAACATCGGTTCATAGGTAAACATGACACACTGAATAGGAAAAATGCACCTGTGACCCCTCTGTGTGCCCCTGAGGTCATCTCAGGTCATGAACGGTCGCCAGCAGTTTTTTGGCTATAACTTTTGATAGAGACGTGCTAGAGCGGTGAAAACACGTCAGATGTGTTCAGCTCGACGATACGGATCGACTGATATGCAACATGACCCTTTTCGGTCAGGTCATGACCTTGACCTGAGGTCAAATTTTCAAAATGACCTTTCAAGGTCAACAAATAGTTCATTCGACGCGTCTCGACGAGAGGAACACGATGCTGGTAAAAGTAATGTCATGGCGCTTATGAGTCAAAAGTTATTGACGAAAAAACGTTTTTCGTAAAAACGGCTATTTTTGGAGTTTTTGCCCTCTGGAGGCTAAACCGTTGACCTGAGGTCAAATCTGAGAACATTACTCAGAAAGGTCTGTAAAAGGGCTATCGAATGCGCTTTTCCGCGGCGCTGTAGCTCTATCGGTTCCCGAGATAGCCGTTGGCAGTTTCCAAAATGTTGAAATAGTCAACATTTTACCTTTGGTGACCTCTGGTGACCTGACCTTTGACCTGACCCAAAAAATGACCGAAGTGTTTTCGTCCTTATTTTTGACGCTCTTTCGATTGCCGCTTACCGCGTGTCGCTACGTGGCCCAGGAGCCGAGTTAGACGGGGGGCGTGAAAACGCCCCCCCAGCACTCGGCGGAAAGTTCAGGCCACCAGCACGGCGCGGGATATAAACACTGAGCAAACATATTGTGCCGGCTGCCGATTCTGGCAGTGCACCAGCTGCACTGTGCTCTTCGATCGGTCGCGGTCAGCTCTCTGATGGCCACTGTCTGACGGGGTGGCCACATCGCCGCTCTATGAAACAGCGGTCCCTGCTCTGCTCCGGTCGGTGGCCAATGGTCACGCCACGGCCGGGCACGACCACCAAACGGCCCGGTCACGGCCGGGGTCACGGCCAACAACCCCTCGGCCTGGGGCCATCAACCGAGCACCGGCATATAGCGTGATCACTAAATTGCTAATCTCGCACGAATGAAGAGGCACACTGTCTAAAACCGCAGCCCATTAGCTGAAGACTGAAAACGTTTGCTAACAATAAGAAAGTTTATGTATATTCCTTGATCCAGTTTACCTTTATCTGGCTCCGGCTATTCGTAATGGGCCTATGAGTCTCAGCAAGGAGCTGACATTGATCTGCGGGGCGATCTATGTGGAAGACAAAAATGTCGGAATGACCATTAACATTTTAATTTAGTGGTACTTTTGCGCTTTTATTCGAATGGCGCCAGGTGATGGGTGGCGCCAGGCGCCAGGTTATGGGTGCAAAGTGTCCAATAATAAATCCAATAGTAAACCCAATAACCTCTTCGCTAATGTCTCATAAATTCACGATTCTCTTCTGGGTGATGATAAAATAGCAATGCAATAATTCATTGCAACAAATAAAATTGTAGGAGTCAATCGAATGTAAATTACACCCAGGCAGGAAAAACACAGCCAGCCGTGCGGACGCTTTTGCGCTTGCTTACCTATATCTCAGCAACTAATTGACCGATTCCTACACGCGGTAGTTTTTGTAGGGTAGCTTCATTCCTTCTACCAAGTATTGGACTATTCCCGATGCATGTGGGTGACCCCTTATGCACGTGCCACGCGCAAAACGAAGCAGTAGCGGCGGAACACCTTCAATTAAGGGGGTACTGCCGACTTTTGGTCCCATTCTTTCCATGCAACGCCCATAGGGCTAATGTTAAAATGCCTAAATCAAAGGGGGGCACGGTGCCCAGGTACGGGGACCCGCAGGCCGCAGTTGCTACTGTACAGCGACCCTGAGTATATTGTCCCGGCACCCTCACAGGGAACAGCGATAAGCTGTCAGAGGGCACGCACAGAAAACCTCAGCTGCTCTTGTACAGGGACCGGCAGTCGATATCAATGTTATCACTTGTTACTGGACAGGACAGACTGTTAGACTTGGGGTTCGTGTACAGCAGCAACTGCAGGTCCCCGTACCCTCCCCGTTCCGCCGCCTATGAAACGAAGAGGTGTCAGTTTTGTAATAGTTGGAATATCTCGGTAACTACTTGGCTGATTGCGCTGAAAGTTGGCATGTAGGTAGGCACCCACTAGGCAATGCATATCCATGTGCCAGAGTTGGGGTGCTGCTGCACGTGCGCACGTGTAGGGGTCGTTTCCAGATCTCGAGAACGGCTGGACCGATGGCGCTCAAACTTGGTACACGGTTAGGGACCAGTTAGTAGGGTACCGTGTACAAGTCAGCTGGGACCCATTTTGCACGTGCGCACGTGCAGTGTGCCGCTTTTAGATCTCGAGAACGGCTGGGCCGATTGTGCTCAAATTGGCAAATCGCTAAAGACCGGTTAGTAGGGTGCCGTGCACAAGTCAGTTGGAGGTACCTCATCGAAATTTCGCACGTGCAAGACTCACCCTCTCGCTCGCTCCGTTGGTCGCCCCAAAGGCGTTTTACTGGTATGTTTACGGAGCGAGCGAAGCGAGCGGAGTCTTTCCTTAGATTAACGGAAATTTTTTAGTAGGGGAGAGTGGGGAAAGATGCCCAGGGTTTTGCTATGTCATATATTATTCGAAAATGACGATGGGAAAGCAAAAACTTGGAGTTTCAACGAAAGCCGACATCATTTTTCCCTAAAAATATCACACTTTCGTGCTTGAAATATTATAACTTTTTTTGCTATTAAGCATTTTCCTGAAGAAGTGAAAGGGGGCATCTTACCCCACAGGGTGGGAAAGACGCCCCCTGACGTTGGGAAAGATGCCCCCTGCACTATAAGTGACATAAATGGGCACGTGAATCGCCTGAACGAATCAGTAGTCCCTTCGAGCCTGCAGTAGACACCAAACGTCATCATAAGGGCCATCAAAAGTAGTCGTAAGGGGCTTCAGAGGTCATCGTTAGGGCCATCATAGTCCAGCGCGGCCAAACAAGCCTCCGTGGTGGCGTTCGGAGACCACTGTGGGGCTCTTATAGGTCTTCATGATGCTTGAGGGCCCTCTATCCCATCGTGGGGACCTCCGATGCCAGCGCGGCCCGTGGGGCCAACGTGGGAGCCCTCAAAGGATGTCGTGAGGGGCCCTGGAGCCAATAATGGGGCCCACAGAGGCCGTCGTGAGGGCTCTCAGAGTCAGATGCCGCCCAAAAAGTCGCTATGTGGGCCGAGAGACCGGCATGGGGAGCATCCGACCGTACTGGACTCTCAAAAGTCTCAGATCGGCTTTTGTCTACATCACAAGTATGTAATAAATGATTTGACGGGCTGTTTGAAGGACAGCCTACGGATTTAGGGGGGCGTCTTTCCCCATCAGAACAGGGGGCATCTTACCCCAAGGTACCGAAGTAACATTAAATCAGTACAATTTGTTAGCCATAAAACTACACCCTGAAACAAACTGTTTGGGACACAGTACACGCATGCTGATGTATCACGACTTTAGCAAGGGACGCAAAAATTATTTACCTTCTTTGATATTTACAATGTTTTGACACCAAAATATTTTTTGAAAGCAGCAAATAAAAAACATGCAATCATCAGCCAGCCGTTGCCCAACTGAGCTTCGCAAATTTTTGTGCAGTTAACAGGGCAGGCTTCCGCTTTACGCTAAGAACATTAATTTCCAGGTCCGATTCTTTGTTTCGCCGCTAGAGGGGGTGGGGCGTCTTTCCCACCCTGGGCATCTTACCCCACTCTCCCCTATGAGCGGCCGGCCGGCCGTGCGGACGCTTTTGCGAGGCTTATATCTCAGCAACCACTTGACCGATTTACATGCGGTAATTTTTGTAGGGTAACTAGCTTTATCCCTTCTACCAAGTATTGGACTATTCCCGATGCATGTGGGCGACCCCTTATGCACGTGCCACGCGCAAAACGAAGAGGTGTCAGTTTTGTAATAGTTGCATTATCTCGGTAACTACTTGGCCGCTTGCGCTGAAAGTTGGCATGTAGGTAGGCACCCACTAGGCACTGCTTATCCATGTGCCAGAGTTGGGGTGCTGCTGCACGTGCGCACGTGCAGGGATCGTTTCCAGATCTCGAGAACGGCTGGACCAATTGCGCTAAAATTTGGTACACGGTTAGGGAGCAGCTAGTAGGGTGCCGTGCACAAGTCAGTTGGGACCCATTTTGCACGTGCACACGTGCAGGGTGCCGCTTCCAGATCTCGAGAACGGCTGGGCCGATTGTGCTCAAATTTGGCACATCGCTAGAGACCGGTTAGTAGGGTGCCGTGCACAAGTCTGCTGGAGGTACCCCCTCAAAATTTTGCACGTGCAAGGCTCACCGTCTCGCTCCCTCTGTTAGTCGCCCAAAAAGGCGTTATATATACTGGTAATGTAAGGTACTTTTATTTTCTTCTATCTCCATTTCCACGAAAGCCATAAGCCAAAAATCAATACAGTGGCCCAACGATTTTTTTTTGCAATTTAGGTCTCACCCTTCCTAAACATTAGGTACCATAAAGTCACACAATTTATTTAGGGGGATATTTTATCGGTATTGGTAATGGACCTTTCCCATTATATAGGTATCGACGACAACGGATTAAGACCAACCAATCGGTACCACACGGCACAATCTTCATTCTTCCCCCACGTTCAACGCTCACAGGGATCAGGTGACTCGAATCAATAACCAAAAATGTGTTTTGTTTCTGAGAATTCATGAGAATCCGGGGTAGTGAGTGCCCATCAGCAACCGAGTATTTCTTGATCGTGGTGACAGTATGCATCGAATATGTACAAAAGCCACCGATTTATAATCGGTTCTCATGACCACAACAAATCCACATCGGCCGTATTGCTTGCTGACCAAAATAAATAGCTGATGCGCACTTGCAGCGTGAGTAAGCAGTGCTGCATATTCAATGAAACTAAGGTTTCAACCAATGAAACTAAGGCTACTGAAATTCACATCACCTACCTACTATTAAAGACGACAGAGATCGCTGACTCGCAAGAACCATACCGGCGAGTCAGGAATCTCCAGCTCACCCGTTACAAGTTGGCAGAGTCCCTAGCTCACCTGAGACCAGTTAGCAGAGGCCATTGCTCACCTGCCACCAGTTAGCATTAGTCTCTACCTCACCTGACACTAGTCAGCAGAGTCCCTTGTTCACCTGACACACACCGACCCACCCCAGAGTCAGCCGCTCACCTGAGGCCATGACAGAGACCCCTGCTCACCTGACACACACTAGCAGCAGAAACAGCAGACGTCCCGCCTGGCCACACATGCTACCGTTTTGGCTGTGAGCGCGAGTGACGGCCCCTCTTTGGAGGCCAGGCCGCCCCCACCGACGGTCGGCGAATGCCCGTCGGCACCGCCGGCTACTGAGGGCGCCGACCGACGCGTCGGTTCCTTCCCCTCCCGATGGGGGGGGGGGGTGACCCTGCAGTTCCGCCGGGTCTTGGGACAGGAACGTCAGCGAAACTGGAGTTGGTGGTAAGCTAAGTCTGCACTTCCTACTGCGGTTCCCCATTGACTCAAGAATGGCGAGGTCACGCACGTGACCGACCTGACCTCAGGTGGTGTTGATTAAAAGATCCTAGATACACAAGCATTAATTAATAGTTCTGGGTTTTCTAAGTCCTTTGAGATTTATCTCACTCTGTGAATGATACCCAGGTACTGAGGGCGTTGCGAATTGGTGAGAGTTTAGCACCGTGCACACTGCACAGGTCGACTTGGTCTGGTTGGGCGTCAAATAACGTCAGTGGCCTGACCTGACCGGAAACTGTGGTTCGTAAAAAAAGAACCTGTTTGAATTAAAGGCCAGAAATACCAGCTTTCAGCCCTCTAGGGCCAGCGTGCTCCGAACAATTGCGAAAAACCTGGAGGGGAGGGCCGAGGGGTGGCATCCCCCATCGGCCACGGAGGGTTGAAGCCTTTAGAAAACATCGATAAATACGGGAAGGGCAGAATCCTCTCCATTCAGCGAGACGCCCAGCACCCAAACGTTGTCCGAATCCTTTCAATGCCACGGATGCGTGTAGGATGTGTAGGTATGTTGGCGCCTGGTAGCCCCACTGCGGCGCTAAGGCGGGCCTCCGTTTCCCTGTTTACTAGGCGCTCCCGCCGCACGGGGTGACAGCTTGTTTGTGGGTCACAGACGAGGCGCAGAGGTCCACAGCCAAATCAGGGAGACGAGCATCTGCAAACACCCTGAGTTGTGACGTCAGCGGGGCCTGTCGATTCGGGGTCTCAACTCATCTTACCTATATTGACTGGAGTCTCAGTGGAGCTCGAGAGAGCACCTGGTGTCACCACATTCAAAACGGTTACTGAAATCGCATGACACGTTAAATTGAATGATCAGCCGTTCTGTCTCCGTATGTATATCGTTTCGTTTCCGCTTAGGCGCAGTAGTTTATGACTTAGTAGGATCAAGGATGACAGATGGCGTAGTAGTGAAACAGATGGCGTATTTTGACTTGTTTACCCCTGTAACGTCATTTTTTACCTGACCTGAAAATGACCTCAGTGAAAATTGTAGACTTTGTTCGTCTGTATCCCATGCCATTTACTGCTTGTTTCTATCTTGCTTCGTTCTGGAGATATCACGGGGAGCAGGTATCCGCCCCCCCTCGGTGTGAAGTTGGCGCGGAAAGCGGATCCCCGTTGGTGCGCGGGTTAAACCATGATATTTCGGACCAAAAGACTATCTCGCCACTCAAAGCAAAACTTCAGGACGTCTGGAACCGAAAACGCATTGACGCGGCACGAATGCGTCGATGGCTACCAAATGCTGCTGTCTGGTACAGTGGCGGATCCTGGGGGGGGTCCACGGGGTCATGACCCCCCCCAAAAGGTCTGAGAGGGTCATTTGACCCCCCCCAAAAGCCGAAGACCTAAATGCGCTATAGACGCCGTCTTGCATGCTCAAAATCACATGTCAAACACTTCTGAGCTAATACCTTTGTTTTTCTGGATCGTGTTGCGTGAAAAGGCGTATTGAAGGCCAGAATCTTACTCATTTTTGTCTCAACCGTGCGAGCACCAGGGGATGATCCAGGAAAACTCCAAGGGGATGGTCATGAATTTAATTCGTGGTGCCCCTACCTATACGCAAAATTAAAAACTCAACGGATTTCGGCCACTTAATTCTGGTGATGTCCTATTTCCATTTTTTTATTTTGTTTGTTTTATTTTTAGTGCCCCTGGGCCCTGGCAGGTCAAAATCACGTCGGAGGCGAAAGAAATTCACGGGAATCCCAAAAATCACGTCAGGACATTCAGGGCACTCTGACCAGCCTGACAGCTAGGGCCCTTCTTACTTCCTGGGGCCTCCAGTGAATAACCGCTAGTGTCTGTGTCGGCCCCTCTGACTCCTCAGTAGGTAGGAGGCCCTCTGTAGAGGAGACCCTCTGTGGAAAGGAGACCGCCTGAATGCAGAAGGCCCTCTGAAGAGAGGAGACCCGCTGTAGAGAGAAGGCCCTCTGAAGAAAGGAGGCTCTCTGTAGAGAAGAGGCCCTCTGAAGAGAGGAAGCCCTTTGCAGAGATGAGGTCCTCTGGCTCTTTGAAGAGAGGAGGTCCTCTGTAAAGGAGGCCCTCTGAAAGGGAGAGACCCTCAGTAGAGAGGAAGCCCTCTGTAGAGAGGAAGCCTTCTGTAGTTAAGAGGCCCTGTGAAAAGAGGAGGCCCGCAGTAGAGATCGGTGGTCCTCTGTAGAGAGGAGACCCCCTCTGTGTTTTGACAAATGTTTTTGCAAATTTTTCGCGGCGCTTCGCGCCGCCGATTCATGTACATACGTACAGGTCAATATGAAATCGTGACTGTAATTACATAAACCAACCGTGTCAAATTGAATCAGAATTCATATGTGTACCTACTGTGAAGAAACTCCGGCTTGTACTGCCATGCTAAAAGGGTGGTAAAATTTGTGTTTTGGAGCGGAGCTGTGTTTTGACACATTCTTTTGCAAATGTTCTCGGCGCTTCGCGCCGCCGATTTATACACCAATCAATAAGAGAGATCGTGACTGTAATAACACCAACCGTGTCAAATTGAATCGGAATTCATATGTGCACTGTGAAGGAACTCCGGCTTGTACTAGCATGCTAAAAGGGTTGTAATATTTGTGTTTTAGAGCTGTGTTTTGACAACTTTTTTCAAATTTTTGCGGCGCTTCGCGCCGCCGATTCATACACAGGTCAATAAGAGAGATCGTGACTGTATGCTACTAATGCATTGGGCATTAGACTAATGCATAAGTGAGGTAACTATATCTACTACTTCTGGGTTTTTAAGTCGGTCGATCCGCCCCCCCCCCCAGTAAAAAAATCCGTGGCGACGCTCCTCTATAGGTGGGTTTCACTAACTAAAACTACTGAGCCGAGTGACTTACGATAAAACTTCAACTCAGAAACGACGAAGATCAAATGTCATTTGATCTCGACATACTCGCTCCCTACCCCCCCCCCCCCGGTCGTCAGAATTCATTCATCAGACCTGGCATGTCGGCCGACTGGTGACCCCCCCCAAAACGTTCCCCTAGATCCGCCCTTGGTCTGGTATAAATAAAGCGAAAAATTGTGTCCATTATTTACAACGCATTCTGATGTAGGGGAAGGTGGGGTAAGACGGCCCAGCGGGACAAGACGCACCACCGGCCCTCCCGGCTGAACCGCTGCTGGTATCTACTGCTTTATGCACTCACTATGTTTGTTTTCCTTCGTAACAATGGCCACCTTGAGCTCATGCTGCTAGGATGCATAGCTTTTGAGTTATTGAGAAAAATGTTGTTTTTCGTCAAACCGATCTAATATAAGGGGTCTACGGGTGATTCAATTACGGCGTCTTTCTTGCATGATTAGTTTCTATTTTGCACTTAACTGTGAAGAACAAAGTTATAAACTTAGTTATAGTCACACTTTAGGAAAGGCAAGGTTTTGCAATGTTAGGCTTGACATATACGTCATGATAATGACAGAGTTTAGATTTGGGGCAAGACGGACCACTGTGGTCCATCTTACCCTGTGGTGGTCCATTGTACCCTGCGTATGGAAAGTTCTTTTCCAAAACATTGACACAAGTTTCAGTAAGCTAATTTTTCAGGAAGGAGTCTTTGTTGCATGTGAGCCATGCATGCAAGTGCTCAGTTAGCATGCATTCATGCCAAACGACAATCAACACACATGTTCCCAGCTTTTAGCTGCACTTCCATCACACATGAGTAAAGAATAAAGGCTCACTTTGTTATTTTACCATTCTGGTTACTTTTTCTTACAAGAGTACAGAGCAGAAGTGTAACACACATGAACGGATAGCAGGCACTGCTGGGTGGTCCGTCTTACCCTACGTTTTTTTTTTTGTCTGAGTTTTTGACATGTCCCTCTTTAAGAGCATCCACCACCTAGATTTCTTTAATTTGAAATTTAGTCTTTACACATATCAACAGAGGAAGGATTGAGCATTCCGAAGACTATAAATAGGTAATTATGAATTACGAGAGCAGTGTAGCAAGATATGCGGCCTCAAACCTCAGCTGGTCCGTCTTACCCCACCTTCCCCTACAGTCTGTCTTAACACGCGCAGTGGAAGGGTTGCGAGTACTACGCCCAGTGGAAGGGGGGGGGCGGATGGTGCCCCCCAAGATCTCAGCTCCCAGTGGAGCTAGGAAGACGAAATTTGGAGGGTAGGTGGGGGCCCTGGGGAACTCTGTTGTGTGTGAATTTCATGACCGTAGGTCAATATCTTCAAGGTCAAATGAGATCAAATGTGGTCAAATCTGCCATATGAGCGACGTTTTTGCGTTTACACGCCGATAACTCAAAAAGTTACCGGCCGATTTTCTTTATTCTTTCACTATACGAAAGAACATACATTTGTGAGTATGTAGGGTGAATTTCTAGTTAATCAAACAAAAAATATGGCAGTTAGAAGCCAAGGCCTCCTCTAACATACCCACTGGGTGGGCAAATGCCTACCCAGTCACCACAATTGCCCACCCAGTGGCGTCGATTTGCCCACCCAGAAGCAAATGCAAAAATAAAGGTCCGGTCAGACGTCCGGTAGGAACTACCACTTCCGTTTCCCGGAAAAAAAAAACTTGCTAGCAGCCAGTGCCCCAGCCCCCAATCACTGCAGTGCAGGTTATTTTTTTTTTTTACAATGGATGCATCTGAATGCAGGGGCGGTAGCAGACTTGGCGTTTGGGGGTGGGGGCAACTTGGCAACTTTGCCAACTCTCGGAGGGGGGGGGGGCGGTGCTAGCTTAAGGGGCCCATGGCCATAGCGGCCTCAAAGGCCCGTATGGAACCCCAGAGGCCGATGTGGGCTCTCAGAGGCCAGTG